CCTATTGAAAACGTCTTGGTTATGCATTGCCACATCGCCAAAAGGTATTAAGTAATTAAAATGTAGCTAATAATGCTTTTAAACTTCTAAAAATAACGTATACTTCTATTTAAAACAGGTACTTAGGATTGACGGAAAGATTTCTAGTGTGCGCCTCAAAACTGCCATACATGTGGAGAAACGCCTTTCTAAATGAAAAACCTGAGCCCAGGGCCGGCGTTAGCTTATTAGAGGCCAGGTGCAAAAGAAAAATGCGAGGCTTGAACTAACAATTTTTTAAGCGTGTTACCGGATAGTAGAAAATTTTGACCTAAAAATGCACTTGGATGGTTCAGCTTTTTCATTCAATTAATATAGAAATTAATCTTAAATATTTTTTTATTAACTTTAATTTTGAAAAACTCTTTTCCCGGCGTAATAATAATTGTTTTAAATGGATACAGGCAACTTAAAATACATATTTAGCAACATTGGACTGGATGATAATAGATGACGATACCTACTAAAGATATTATCTCTGGCAATGACCAGATATTATTTTATCACGCTGTGCTTACAGCTTTTCATGTTGCTAAAATGTACAATAATTTCGTTAAGACGCCTTGATGTGCGCGGGGGCCTATAAAACGCGGGGCCGGGTGCAACCGCACCGTTTGCACATGCCTCACGCCGGCACTGCCTGAGCCTCATTCGTAAAAAAGTATATAAAACTGCAGCCACCCTGGTTATCAACCCTTCACGGATGGATCATACATATAGATTGGATATAAAATAATGGCAAATAAGAAAAGAGAACAAAATTCAAACCACAGACCATCTGTCTCTGTGCTTCAAACTGATATCCGAAATAAGCAAAACAAGATCGGTTCAGCAAATAAATAGGTCGAATTAAACCAGGATTTGGCACAACCAATGACGGCAAAAGCGTTTGAAAATCCAGTTTTGTCGTCAGATATTACAGGAAAAAAGGCAAAAAAAAGTCTAAAAATATTTCTCCTGATGTATTGAGACTACTCCAAGATTCAAGACTAGATGAAGATGATAATGATAATGGCAATGACGATGATAATAATAATAATAATAAAAACTAAAATTTATATTGTTAAGATTGTTAATTTGTTAATTGTTAATATTATTAATAAATAATATTTTATCTACTCCTACATTGACGAGCTGTGACTTTATGGCATTTTAGTCACGGGCTGAAGTTAACAACAGTAGCTTTTTGGCATTTTAGTCAAATGTCAAATTTTATGAAATAAAATTGGCTTTAAATTCTTGTTTCTGTTATACAGGGTGTTTCATAATATATGCGCAGGACTTCAGGATGTGATAGCTCTTCCAAAAAGATGAAAAAAGTTGCTATTAACTTACGCTCTAAAATGCACAATTTTCGAGATACAGGGTGTTGAAATTTTAGAAAAAAATTCGTTTTTTTCGAATATCTCCGGAACCGTTTATCGTACAAAAAACAGCTTTTGTAAGCATTTTCTACTCAAAATAAGCTATGTTTTGTGCTAGAAAAAATTTTTTTTTCCTCATAATTGGTAGAGATTTTGAAGGGGTAGCGGGTGTTTTTCTCCTCAACTTCTACGCCCCTAAAAAAAGTACGGTTTTGAGAGGCCCATTCGAACCGCCAATGTTTTCTACACAAAAAAGTTACTCCTGGTCATAAGCTCTAAAGTTGACCGTTTTCGAGAAAAATCAACTTTTATGTTTAAAAACATGGTCAATTTAAAAAAAAATATATTTTTTTTTTACTAATTTAACAAAATTTATTTTAACGTTAGGACAAGTAACAAAACCAAACCATAATTGCAAAATAAAAAATGATTTAAAAGTTGTCTTTGCTTAATTCTCCAAACCGTAAAGGTAACGCATTTCGCACATTTCAGCATTTGAGTAAAAAATCATTTTTTATTTTTTTTTTAATTTTGCAATTATCGTTTGGTTTTTTTACTTTTTCTAACGTTAAAATAAATTTTGTTTAATTAGTAATAAATTTTTTTTTTCAACAAATTGACCATGTTTTTAAACATAAAAGTTGATTTTTCTCGAAAACGGTCAACTTTAGAGCTTATGACCAAGAGTACCTTTTTTTTGTAGAAAACATTGGCGGTTCGAATGGGCCTCTCAAAACCGTACTTTTTTCAGGGGCGTTGAAGTTGAGGAGAAAAAACACCCGCTACCCCTTCAAAATCTCCACCAATTATGAGTAAAAAAAATTTTTTTCTGGCACAAAACATAGCTTATTATGAGTAGAAAATGCTTACAAAAGCTGTTTTTTGTACGATAAACGGTTCCAGAGATAATCTAAAAAAACGATTTTTTTTTAAAAATTTCAACACCCTGTATCTCGAAAATTGTGCATTTTAGAGGGTAAGTTAATGGCGACTTTTTTCATCTTTTTGGATGAGCTATCACATCCTGAAGTCCTGCGCAAATATTATGAAACACCCTGTATAGGTACTCGTTTTTATTAAACACTCTCGCGCAAGCTTCGCTCGTACGTGGCTAATAAAAAATAAAATGGCGTTTATAAAACTGGATACGTAATATACTATTTTTATTTAATAAGAAGCAAAAGGGCACATGTGCAAAAAATAGAAGTGGAGTTATTAACTTTTAAAGTTTTTCTTATAAACAAAAATCTGGATACTTGTTTCAATATTGTTGTTTGCATTAATCAACATGCAGAACTCGTACAATTTTCACGTTATGAGAAATTTTTTAAAAACATTTGGATTCTAAACTACCCAATTCTATACTTAACTTATTTTTATGCTTAAATGCACCTGTACCCTTTTGCTTCTTACCCCTTCAAATAGTTTTGTTGAGTCACATTCACAGACCATATGTAGTCTGTGGTCACATTTTTTATCGGAACCACTGTGGGCCAATTAAAAACTGCCCTTACAATTTATTTAAAACCGGGTAATTAAAAACTGCACATTAAAATTAATATTTTGGGTAATGGACGACTGCCCTAATTCGAACAAAATTGGATTATTGAAAACTGCCCTTCCATAAACACATTTAAAAAAAATTGTAGGAAGAATTCGCACAGGAGGATAAATCTCAAAAAATGTAGAACAAGTTCGCACAGCTCCATAAATTTAAAAATTAGTAGGACAAATCCGCACAGTATCATACATTTATAAAATGATAGGTGAGATTCACAAAGTGGAAAAAATCTAAAAAATGGTGGAACAAATTTCCAAAATTTACGAATTTTTAAAAGTTTTTCTTCGACTATTACACTCATTACTTTATGGATCAATCAGATTTCAGAAAACGAGTGTTTTTTTCAGTTTTGCAGTGAAAAAACTACTATTTAGGTGACTATTCCACTCATTACTTTAGGTATAGACTAATCAGATTAAAAAAAACGAGTGGTTTTTTCAGTTTTGCAGCAATAAAACTACTATTTAGGTTTATACAAGTTGCCAATTGGTTGCTATGCGAAAAATAATTTTCAATGTTGTCGTTTCTAATTTTAAAATAAAAATGTCAAAAAATATGCGTTTTGGTCAAAAAGTCATACAGAAATTGAATCGGCAGTTAATTCTAATTATAAAAAAATTGTGAAAAAGTCTTGCCGAATACCACTCGTGATAAAATTTTCCATTAAAAAATTAATTTAAAACCACTCGCCTAGCGGCTCGTGTTCTTAAAAATTAATGCCACTTGTGAAATTTCCAAGAAAAAAACATTCGTATTTTATCGGTAAAATTTTACCACTAGTGGTGTTATATACGAACATTTTATCGTTTTTGCTACTTACATAAATTATTTGCATACGGAAGAATTTTTCTTTAGTTACGCCAAAGAGGTATAAAATGCTAGGGAGGCAGCACTAGTTTTTTCCCAACGCTCTCCTGATCGTCCCCTGGACTGTAAAGTTGTTGTGCGTTGTAACAAAATTGAAGGTGCTCCTTAACGTAGGTATTAGAACAGCGGAAAATAAAAAAGCCATTTTCAATTACTTTAATGCAAATAGTAGGAAAAGCATAAGGGAAGTTGCACGAAAATTTTCCGTTCACAGTTCAGAAGGGTTATGAAGGACGTTTATTTTACGCGAGTGTATCACCTGCAGCTGGAAGATAATCCCACTAGAGTAGAATTCTGTAGGGGTTGCTAGAGATTTTGGCTCTGGGGTACAGGGCTAGTTGCTTAATTCTTACTTAAAAACATTGGCGTCCTGAAGTGTGACAGTTTTTTTGAAAGGTTAATAAACATAGTCGTGCAAAATATTTTTAAAAGTTTGAAGACTCAATGTTCTATGGTCTCCTAGCTCCTACGTTTAGGTAACCTAGGCGAGAGCTCTTGGTATTTGCTGCCGCTTTTTTGCTCTCATTTGATTACACTATTACAACATTATTAAATTGCATCTGCAGGGTGCAGAGAAAAAGGGGGCGTGCTGATAAATGTATACTTACTAAGTATTACTTATTACGGTTTTTTATTAGTGAAATAAACTGACCACTCTGATTAATGCGTAACTTTGTTTGCAGATTGCTTTTCACAAAAGTTGCTCTTTTGGTTCCACCCTTACTTAGAAGTACCTATAGGTATAGGTATACCTAACCTTGTTTAATAAATCATTGTAGTTATTAGTAATATAGAGTTTGTTTCTTATAAAAATTAAATTAAATTTTATAATAGTATCTACAATAGTACAATGTTACGCAGGTTACATTTATTAATCTCCAATTAGTTTTGGTATACCATATATGGAGTTTATAATTGCAATTATTAAAGTGGATATAAAAAATAATATTTATAAATATTCGACTCAATTATTTATATAGTGCTGTATAATTAAAAAGTTTGTATGAAATAATATGTTTGCAATAGACTTCTAAAATACTACATGGTTAATTTTACTATTTTTCTGGAATTTCCCATATATCGTAAGAACGTCATGTACAGCCATTACATTCTTTAATAGTTAAAAGAAAGAAAATACGCATTATAATGCGTATTCTATAGAATCTTACCTTTTATTATTCTCGTTTATACTTTCTTCAGAGTGCAACATGGTCATTTCTCACCAACCACAAACTGATTATAAAATTTTCCAAAATCACTTAAGTTCTAGACATCTCATTTAGATATGGAATTGAACACAGTAAACAGCACGAATATTTGTCTTTTTTGGATAATAATAAAATTCGATAACTCGCAATAAAACCAGCAAGTTTAAAGAAACAAACACGCATCTATCTTGTTTATAGATTGAATCGTAAGAATTTAAATTTGCAATCATTTTCTATTTAGATGCGACAAATTACGGTCTGGCCCCTATTCGGACTGTTGTTAAGGCTCACTGTGGAAAATTTACTCAATTACCCATTAAAGTCAATTAGTGACTTTATACGTAGGTGATACTCGAGCACGAGTAGGTACAGTACAGAACAAATTCATATTTGGACGGTGACGCTCACATATATTTTTAAAATTTTGATATTAATTATTTATAAATTTTCCTACTTGTACCAATTATAATATAATATAACATAAAATCAGTGTTTCCGAAGCTACCGATTTTTCGGCATGACTACCAAAATGAAGACAAATTTAAAGAAATACCAAAATACCAAAATCCCACGTTTTTTAAAGATTTTTTTCTTAATCTATTTTTAATAAATTTGGTTTATTTCACCATTTTTTAATAGAAAATAGAGCTTCCCTAATATTAGCACATTAAGGAGTAAAAATTTGTCAGATTTTTGTTAACATAGAATTAACGGTGTCTGGGGCCCTAGGCCACAATTGACTTAGGGCCTTATTCAGCTAGCTGAAACTTGATCTTTAAGAATTTTTTGTTATAAAGACATATTTATAGTTAAGATCAAGTTTATAATTACAATGTTAAAAAAAAGTGTCACTGCATGCACAATGAACGGTACAAATGGCCAGCTAGGTAGGTAATATGAGGAGGTTCATTCCAAAACTCGGCTTATCCACTTTTTAATAAAAATGAGTTAGTGGTGTCTGTACATTTAACATGTATCCCCCTATACCCTGAACCGTTCATAATATTCAAAAACTCACCTTATTTCATTTAAAATTAATTTACAAATTGACTGTCGTTCCAAAACTTGCCTTATATATTGGTTATATCATGCAGAACTCGGCATATACCTACACACAACGAAAAACGTACGTAATATTAATAAAAAAAAACATTAACGCAATGATTTTTTACATTAATTTTGCTCCGATGCTCAAAATCATTACCACAATGCTTTTAAAGTATTACTCAATGTACAAGGACGTAATATTAATGCTTGGCGGACATTGATTTTAATCAGGAAGATCTCAAATAAAAGTACTGATATTAATGACCATTAACATGGATTAATGTCCTAGTACATTAATTCTATGCCCAGTAAACATCAACCAATTAATAAATTTTTAATCAATTAACAATTAAAGAACATTATCCCAATCACCTAGTATACATTAATTAATTATCTGTGTATAAATTTGTTTTAGAGTTAAGTGATGCCCCCTTGTTTCAATGGCGAAAAAGTGGTGGGCTTCCTAATGCCATTCAAACCTATCAAAATATACACCCTTAGTTCCAATGCTTTGGCGGTAGGGGGCACACGAGTCAAAGGAGATTATATACAGCTTTGTATAAGTATTACGCAGTATACGAAGCCCGTACATCTGGCAACAATGGGGACTATACGCTCGATGACTTTTTGATAGGAAGGCGGGGAAAATAATGCGGGATTCTTAAATTTGTATCTACTGATTTTCAAAATAAATGTTATATTCCCAAAATTATGTTTTGTTCACTACATGGCGTGGATTAAAAGGCAATGTACTTTCGTAATACACTTAATTTTAAAGAATTATTTATTTTTGAAATATTATTTGGAGTGCATTTTTCTTTGGGGCGGTTTTACAAGTTGTCCAGATATTTTACATAGTTTTAATTGGGGAAACAAGGGGATTTCTATATATTATTATTATTATTATTCAATGTTACATTTAAATAATTTAAATAAAAATAATTTTTAATTTATTTGAAACATTTACAATTTTAATAAAAATAATTTTTAATTTATTAAAAAAATTTTCAATAGCGGTATGAAATAAATTAAAAATTATTTTTATTAAATATCATTTTAATGTAACATTGAATTGCAAAAACTGCTTTTTGACAGATAGCTTCTCATGGCAATTTGTCAATTAACATTCACAACTGGTCAATTTATTTATACATGGCAAACAACGACCAAACAACAATAAGAAATTGGGTTCTTTATTTGGATAGTGCTTATCTAAAAGGAACCAAAAACTTGTTCGGAGCTTAACAAACTTATTTGTATATACCTAACTCATTTTTAATGCTGCTCAAAAACTTAATTATAATTTGAAAGTCCTCTCAATAATTTAAAAGAAGTTCTAAATAATGATAAACTTAGTTATTTTACAAAAAATTTTGTCCAAAAATAGTTTTTGGCGCTTGGTTCTTTTTAGATAAGGATTGTCCATTTATACTTACCATTACAATATTATTTTATCAACCGTTTTGGTTAAAGTAATATTTTATCTACGATTTTTATTGGATAAAAGGCAGCTTTAACTTTATAATGTAGCTATAAAACAATATTTGGTTGGTAATACATTTTTCTTGTTTATAGGATGCTAAACTAAATAGCAATTTTCCCCACTTCTTTTTTTATTTTTCAACTTTTAATTTGGTTTAGTTTTTCTAAATTTTCCCAACATTTAAATCAAATTTGCCTATAATTATAAATTTAGACAATATTTTTAAATAATGACTTATAACACTGTGCAACACAAAAAATCAAACCGCACCGAACAATTTTTTTCTGAAAATATGCCTATCCAATAGCAAAACCCTCGCTGGGTTTGTAAAAGTTAGCTCGATTTATTTTTTTATGGCCGTTTGTATTTTCTAGCTTCTACCCCAATTTAGACTTATTAATCGATTTTTTTCGCATATATTCGATTTATATCGTCAAGATTTTTTGTAGAAATGTAGTTACTAAACAAATAAACCCATTTTGTAAACAACCTATATCCCAAAACCCAATTTTAATATTTAAAATTTCTTGAAGTAATTTATAAAATACGCACACAAAACTGAACTTTAATGAGTATGAGTATGGGAACGTATGGCAGGCCCCAAATATATTATCCTCCACTAATCTCCCGGGGTTATTTTACCCCCTTTCCGTTCTCCTGCGTATCCCGCCAAATCACAGCATTACCTGTGTTTGTTGGATCCGAAGTTTTTACGACGGCTGGTAGATCCACCCTAGGAGGTCGTGGATGACAGTGTCAAAGGTTAAGACCGCTCCACGGATTTTTGTCAGCCGGGTCGGGCCATACGTCCAATTTAGAAAGGGTTTTTGGAGGACATTGAACTGACCCAAAACTAAGTAAAATCCGGAATCCTCCTCAACCAGGGCTTTAGTAATAACCCCATTCATTTGGTATTCCTGAATGGGGGTGGGTGGATTAGTATGCTGCTTGCCTTTCCTTGATGGTGTACTTCCTGTTCGTCGCTGTCGGATTTCGGTTTCTGATAGCCGCTTTAGAATTGTTTGCCCCCCTGTGCGATATTGAGTCTTATCTTCAGAACCGAAGTGTTGCCGGCCGTACCCCGCCGTCATTAGTGCCCTCTGACTATGTGGAAATTCGTTTAACCTACTGAAATTGTCGACCCTCGAATTATTTTTTTCCCACTGTGCGTGATCCCCATTCACTTGAGGTTGGGTCCATCTTTGTGTCTCACTGTGCATTGCGGCTATTACGCTTAGAACGGTTTTTACTTAATTTATGACCCCTTACGTCTTAGTAATCTATAGATGTAAACATAAATAAATAAATTTCTTTAGGATGGTTTCTTTTGCCTAATGTTTATCGTAACTTGAGTGATTAATGGCTTCTTATGTGCCCTTGTGTTTATAGTTTTTTTTACTGTTTCATTTGCATGAGAATCTTGGAAATTGTTTGCGACCAATTAATTTTACCTGAAGAATTATTGTTAGTTAAAGGTTGCGTATTTCGTATTAACTAGTATTAATATTATTGGGTGGTCATGGTCATGCAATTTGGTAGCTACTTATCTAGTTTATGCAGACTTGGACTTCGGGATATTTGCCAGGCAGGTGTGCTGAAATTGATCCTTATCGCATGCCGCCTGCACGTGTGGTAGCCCAGGAACTGATCGTCTCTTTTACACCTTTTAACCAGGTCAAACACTTGAGGACTTAGTCCAGGGGGAGGTACCACACACAATTTGCACTCTTTTGCACTTGGAACCAGTTATCACGTGTAGAATCGATATTGATTTTTTGTTATTTTACGGCGCACTTTTTGCACTTGTTGCACTTTTCGCACTTGTTTGTTTATTTATTTATTTATTTATTACCGATTACCGGTATTTCCGCATACTTAGATTCGCTTTTGATACTTTACTACGTTTGTATCGTATACGCTGCTTAGGAGAAGTCTCGTTAACTATCTTTGAGCGTCTTTGAGAGTCAAGACCCAACTGAACTTTAAGTTTACTTATTTGCTGGAAAACAATTTTTAAAAAAGATTTTCCAAAATATTCATCTTTTCATACTCAACACCAAATTTTTTGTAGAAATCTTTGGAATATCTGTAGGAAAAAATTGAATAGATAAAATAGAACTGTAGAAAAGTACAGAGAGTTTGGTTTTTTATTTTGTATTAATTTTATTATTAAAAAACTTTTTTATATCAAAACATTGAGTAATCTGATTCATTGCTGGAGAATTCCATCCCTTCCACTTCTTCTCCTTTACTGTTCTTCATTTTAATTTTTTGATTTATCACTGGAGAATTCCATCCCTTCATTTTATATATTTTTTATATTCATTTCATTTCAGGCGTTTTAAATGGTCCTGATATTCAGAAATTGCTAAAGTATATCGCCGACGGTGGTCTAGTGGTCTAGTGCATGCTGACTACAAGCCGGAGGTCGTGGGTTCGAATCCCACCAGGGGTATGGCTGTTTATTTGTGTTTGTCCTATTGTGTATTAGTCCTTCGGAGGGGACTTTAAGCCCGCGGTCCGTTCCTACCCCTAACCCGCACAAGCCATTCAGTTGGCTTATGGGACTTCTTAAGAAGTAAAGGTGGAACTAAAAGAGCACTTTTGTATATAAACTTTTGTATATAGACTTTGACAGGGCCTTGGTTCACAATGAGATAGTTGCGTGGGCGTCGATAAGAGAAATCATCGTTGGACTTTTAGGCAAACATCGTTCTCCCAATTATGAAGGATCTGTGCGAC